AGCCCCCCCCCCGGGGGCCACGCTCCGGGCGCATTCCGTGACCAGCCTCAGCCCTAAGGGGAACTAAGGAAAGCCTGAACAGGAACTTGGCGAGCGAAACCCCCAGCGATTTCATGGAGCTGGGCCCAACTCTGCAAGCCACAAACAGGTGATAAACTGGGGGGGTGGGGGGAGAGCCCCGCTCCCCAGCACGGGCAGCCGGAGCCCCCCGAACCCCCAGCCCAGCTGGGGCCTGTCAGCACCGAATCAGCCCTCGCTCTGCACACAGACGTTTCCATTAACTTCTTCAGTGCTTACCCCCCCCCCCAGCGCACCTTTCTGCACAGGGCGGCGGCATCTGAAGTGTTCCAAGTCCGTAAATCGATTTTCCTGGGAAGATGCAGTCCTCTCTCAGCCAGGCTGGAAGCTGCTCTGTGAAGAGGTCTGCATCTTCCCAGGAAGATTCCCTCTCTTTTCCATAGCCTGAGGCTGGCGCCCAGACCCAGCAGAGGCTCATCACCACCCTGTCACCCCCCGAGGCTTCGTAGTTGTGCGCGTTTTGTGCTGCCCGTGGCAAAACTTGATACGCACCGTTACAGGAGGCTGGGGAACCAGCTGTCTTTTGGGGGGAAAAGAGGCCACCTGGAGCAGGGAGCAGTCTCAGGGCTCGGCTCAGATCTGCCCGTTCCCCGGGGGCCTCGACCCAAGCCAACAGAGCAATTATTTCAGGCAGGGAGGCGGAAATAACCCCGCGGGCATTCACGTGAAGCCATTCATCACCAGCCGAGCCCCTGTCTCGCAGCCCTCAGCCCACAGCCCCTGCAGAGACTGACTTTTGGTGAACAAACCCACACTTCTCGCTGCCCGTGAGACGACACCCTCAGCACCACAGGATCAGCCCCGGGCAAACCCAAGGGGAAGGGCCGAGCCGCAGGGCTCACCAGCGAACCCCCAGACCTGTCCCCGGGAACTTCGTGGGCTGGGGATGCACTGCAGCCCCCGAGCAGCCTCGGGGCCTGGGCGGGACGAGCATCCCTGCCGGGGAGGCGCAGGGTGGGCAGCCACGCATGTCCCCCCTGCACGACCCACACAGCCAGGGCCGGGGAGCCGTCACCCAGCTACAGGTGATGCAGTTCCTCACCAGATGATGCAAGACAAGCTGGGTCAGGGCAGGAACTGGCAAGAGCCATGAAACCCACCCACGCCACTCAGGCAGGAGAGTTTCTCCCTCCAGACAGCCCTGGGACACGTGCCGGGCAGCCCGCTCTGCGCAGGGACCCGCCTGGCTCTCCGGTTTCTCTTCCTCATTCGACATTTCTCCCCAGGGGGGGGTTTCACACCGACAAGGGAAGTTGTTTCAATGATGTCAGGCCGGCTAAGAAATAAAAGCAATTTTTGCCATTAATCGTGCCGTGAGCCCAGGGAACACCCTGCTC